ATATTTATGAGAAGTTACAAAATTGTAGACATGGACTCCTACAGCATATCCCGGCATTTTAATTACAGGCTCCAGAAAGACAATGTAATTGATGTGAAGCTCACGTTGCTTTGAAATGGGTACACTCTCCCAGTGTTCACTAATGGCCTGCATTTTACTGCGACTTCAGGATATCAATTGAGAAGCCGAAGGCAGCTGTTGGGGGCAGGCACTATGGTTTTCGTTTATATCGATCGTCAACTTGACTTTCATTACAGTGCTGTAGGATTTATTGTCGTGTGAATGTAACAGTGAAATGAAACCCATGTTTAAGTTCTGCAAATAACTTACAGTCACTTCCAAAACACCTCAACTTAGGTTCTAAATTTGAGTTTGCGGTTTTACATGCACAGTTATTTGCTGATCCACTTTAGCAAAATCACACACTGGCCAGGCCGGGTATAATTATTGTGGCAACAAGTAATGGGTCAAATTTTCAGCCTATTTAACTCACTAGCTACATCATCATCACCAAAACTATGCCAGTATTTTGACATATGTGCATTTTACTCATTGGCGTAAGCCACTGATAGTGTGTATCGAGAATGTATATTTACAGACAGAATTTCTGGTTGAAAGAGCATCTAAGCATGTTAACCTAGCTGCACACATGTGCATCCATATGGAGAGTCTTTGGTTAAATTCCATTCTGCAAAAGTGGAGCTCTGAAAACTCATATGAACATTCATCTGGGATATTTTTAGATAATTTTATTTTTAGATGATTTTGGGTATCAGAATTTGCTTAAGATAATTTTTTTTATCTTTATTGTTGAAAGTATTACAGATGATGCCCCTCTTTTCCCCCCNGTAATACTGGTCTGGTGGTGATAAACTCCTTTAGCTTTTCCTTGTCTGGGAAGCTCTTTATCTGACCTTCAGCTCTAAATGATAGCTTTGCTGGGTAGAGTGATCTTGGTTGTAGGTTCTTGCTTTTCATCACTTTGAATATTTCGTGCCAGTCCCTGCAGAGTTTCTGTTGAGAAATCAGCTGATAGTCTCATGGGTGCTCCCTTGTAGGTAACTAATTGCTTTTCTCTTGCTGCTTTTAAGATTCTCTTTGTCTTTAACCTTTGGCATTTTAATTATGATGTGTCTTGGTGTGGGTCTCTTTGGGTTTCTCTTGTTTGGGACTCTGCACTTCCTGGACTTATAATTCTTTTTCTTTTACCAGATATGGGAAGTAACTCTATATACGAACATTCATTTGGTATATTTTTAGATGTTTTTGGATATCAGAATTTTGCTTCCAATAATTTTTAAATAAAAGTAGTATAAAGTTGAAGTCCCCTTGTCAGCTTTTCACTTCTGCCCCTCACAAAGGCAACCACTATCAACTTGCCATACCCTTCCAGTCCGTATCATCTTTTCCATCACCATTTATCCCCTCTATGTCCGTGCCTACCTCCACCTCCCCGCCAAGTCACCATACTGTTGTGCATGTCCATGAGTGGTCTCTCTCTCTCTCTCTCTCTTCTTCCATTTTTGCTCAATCCCTCTACCCCTCCCCACATTCCCTGTCCCACCAGAGCTGTCAGTCTGCTCACTATCTGAGAGTCTGTTTCTATTTTGCTTGGTAGTTCAGTTTGTTCATTAAATTCCACATATGAGTGAAATCATATGGTACTTGTCTTTCTCTGACTGGCTTATTTCACTTAGCACAATGTTCTCCATGTCCATCCATGCCATCTCAAAGGGAAAAATTTTCTTCCATTTTATGTTAGAGTAGTATTCTATTCTATATACGTACCACAGCTTTTATATCCACTCATTTACTGATGGGCACTTGGGCTGCTTCCAAACCTTGGCTACTGTAAATAATGCCCCAATGAACACAGGGGTACATGTATTCTTTCAAATTACTGTTTCAGGTTCCTTCAGATAAATTCCAAGAAGTGGGATCACTGGGTCATAAGGCAGCTCCATTTTTAATTTTTTGAGGAAACTCCATACTGTTTTCCACAGTGGCTGCACCAACCTGCATTCCCACCAACAATGCACAAGGATTCCCTTTTCTCCATATATTTTTTTTTTTAATGACCTAAGTTATAGCACCATGGATAAATATTTCTAGATCACATATTACATTTTTAATTATATAGGATCTGTCATAGCATTCATATCACTTTTTAGCTTGCTATTTTTCCTCAGCCTTCTATTTTAGAAATTAATCTAGGTCAATCTATCCAAAAGTTGCTTCATTTTAATGTCTCTGTGGTTTGAATTATCCCAGTTTATTCATCTTTTAAACCAGAGATGTCCCCCCTCTTTCTCTGTCCTGGTGTATCTGCCCCAGATTTCTCTTAGGAAATATACCTAGTAGTCTATTTATGGGTTGTGGATTATAAGCCTTTGCAGCTTTACCACGTATTATCAAATTGCTCTCAAAAGAGGTTCTTAATTTATATTCCCACCAGCAGCAGTAAAAGTTACCATTTATTTATATTCTTACAAACACTTTTGTTTTAAAGTTTTTTGCCAGTATGATGGATATGAATGAAATAGTTTATTGTTACATCTCTAATTATTTTGGCCTAATTATTTGTGAGTTTAAACATTTAAAAAAATACTTACTGACCATTTTCAGGTTTACGCTTTATGGGTTGCCTGTTCAAATCCTTTGCTCATTTTTCTCTGAGGCTTTGTCTTTTTTCTTATTGATTTGTGGGAGTTATTTATTTCCAATATTAATCTTTTGTCAGCCATATTGTTAGGGGCAGAGATGATGATCGTGCTCTTTTGACGGTGATTGCTAGCTATAGTTATAAGAAATATTGCCTGGCCGGGCATGGCTCAGCGGTTGAGCACCAACCTAGGATCCAGGAGGTTGGGGTTCGATTCCCAGTCAGGGCACATGCCCGGGTTGCGGAATCCATCCCCAGTAGGGGGCGTGCAAGAGGCAGCCGATCAATGACTCTCTCATCACTGATGTTTCTCTCTCTCTCCCTCTCCCTTCCTCTCTCTGAAATCAATAAAGACATTTAAAAAAAAAAAAAAGAAATATTAATCATGTTCTGTTAACTGTGATTGTTCTGTTCGAATTAGAAAAAGCACTTTCTAACCTGGCTGGGAGCTGTACTCCCCGGGACATAGGAATTACCCTTGGAATGCGGTCCCATCTCCTTTTCAGAGAACCACATATCATCATGGAAAGATTAATCGCCATGTTCCCCAAACAGTGGAATCCTGGAGGCACCCGCCCTTTGCAACCCCCAGCCCACCTTGCCTACTTCCCCGTGCCTGTAATTCCTACTTTCCCATGTAATCTTTGTCCTACCCAATATAAGCAGCTGGCTATTGGGGGGTGGCAGAGCAGATTTTCATGGATGACCTGCTGCTCTCCCATACTGCCGGCAATATTGGAATAAACGCTTATACATGATTCAACCCTGTCTCTGCTTAATTGGCTCAAGTGGTGACAGGCAGCCTGGACTCATTGCTATCCTGTTTCAATATGTCTTGCAAATATCTTCTTTCAACCTTTAAACTTTGTGGTGGATTTTATCACACAGAAGTTTGGATTATTAGATCAAATATTTTAAATCAATTTATTTTTTTATTTTATGCCTTATCATAAAATATCCATTACTACCTTGAGTTGATTACAATATTCTACCATATTTTCTTATGTTAATGTCAAAGTTGTATTATTTTATACATAAGTCTTTAATCATTCTGGAATTTATTTGTGTGTATATAGTATGAGGAACTATCTAAATGTATGTTTATCAAGATGGATGGCCAGTTATTCCAGCACCATTTGTTGACTAGCCATCCTTTCTCACGGTGGCGTGATGTCACCTCTATCCTGCAGAATTCCTACGTGAACGGAGAATGTTTCCCTGACCTCGTGTCATTACCTGTTCCTGTGCCAGAACCTCTCTGTTTTAACTATGATGGCATCATGATATACTGTGATATATAGCAGGACACATCTCCCTTCCCGGTTCTTCCTTCACATAATTATTTTTTGTTATTTTTCAGTATTTTCTGTTCCACCTGATTTTTAGAATAAATTAGTTTGTTCTGTTCCAGAAACAAAACCTGTGGCATTTTTTATTTCAACTGCATGGAATATGTAGGTTAATATAGAGACATTAACATATAGATTAATTTTGTTTTCTCACCCATGAAACAGTATTTTAGTATCTAGCACACCATTTATTCAGGTTTTATTTTTGTGTCTTTCATATAATTTTGTCTTTTTCCCTATAAATTACACATTTTATAGGATTAATCCCTTATTATTTCATCGTCTTTGTGCCATTATGATAATACTTCCTGATTGCTGCTGGATCATTAGAGCCTCATTGATTTTGCATTTTAATCTTGCACCCAGCACCCCTGCTAAACATTGTAGGTCTTAACACTTTGTTTGCAGATGCTCTTGCATTTTCTGTGTAGACCACCATTTTTCCTGTATATAATGGCACATTCTCTCTTATTTTCCTGTCACTATGCCTTGCATTTCTTTTTGTTGTTTATTACATTGGCTGGGACCTCCGGTTCAGTGTTAGGTGGTAGCAGTGATGCTGGGCATCTTTGTCTATGGGTTGTGTTTACAGTTGCGTAATGAACCCATGATAGCCACCCATTCTCACCGTTTTCCCATGATAGCCAGAGTGAGCATTTCAGTATGGCCATCCAAGGTTAAGGTATGAACTGTGATCGTGTAATGAAATAAAATGATCGTATTAGTAAGAGGACCCAAGCTTTACCACCCTCGAACTCCTTAAGTTCTGAATTAACCCATCCACACCTGTTACCAGGCATCCAAGATGGAATACAGTGAAGGTAATTCGCCTTAAGGGTCGCAGATACGAGTATTTTGTTGTTGTTTTTCCATTTGACAGTGTTGGCTTCATGGCAAATGTTTTACGGGAAATATAAATTTATATCTGCTGATATTCTTCAACATTCCTCGTTGTTCACACTCTTTGTTTTGAAATTTCTTTTTTGTAGACTCCTATGAACCAAGCTTCAACTCGTTCCCACTGCATTTTCACTGTTCATTTGTCAAGCAAAGAACCAGGCTCTGCAACTGTCCGACATGCCAAACTTCACCTGGTGGACCTGGCGGGCTCCGAGCGAGTCGCCAAGACTGGAGTAGGGGGCCTGCTTCTAACAGAGGCCAAGTATATCAACCTGTCTCTGCATTACTTAGAACAGGTAAAGTGGGCAGAATGGGCTGTAACTGTACCTACCACTTGTTGACCGTGTATTTTGCATCTGGGGTTCTCCTGACATTTTTGTTTTGTTTTGCTTTGTTTCTTTGCTTTTTTTACTGTGGTGAAATATACATAGCATAAACGTTCCCTTTTAATAATTGTTTTAATCCTTCCTGAGGATATGTTTATTGATTTGGAGAGAGAGAGAAAAAGACAGAGAGACATCCATGAAACAGAGAAACATCAATCGATTGCCTCTGGTATGTACCCCAACTGGGGATTGAACCCCAAATCTGGATATGTGCCCTGACCAGGGATCGAACCTGCAACCTTTCAGTGCTGAACAATGCCCAGCCAACTGAGCCACCCAGGTCAGGGCTATTTTTAATTTATGAATTGGATTTTGAGGGCAGAGAAAGCTCTTCCGAATTTATCTAAATAAACCTTCCAGAAAAACATTCTCATGTCTAAAATGAGTGAACCGAATGAGATTTCTCAGATTCCTTTCAGCTCTGCGAGTATTAGTGCTGTGACTTGAATGTTAAAGACGGCTGCTACTTCCAAATTCAGAAAAGAAGAGAAACCTGACCACAGACTGGAGTGGGGGAGTGCAGAGCACCTTGGCAAGGCAGAAGGACTTGTTAATGAGTTACTGGAGCCTAAAATATTTGCGAGGAAAAAAACCAACCTTTTTAACTGCCTAACGAACCCTGTTGAGACTGATGTTGTTTTGGTGTTAGATGCTTTGTAATGGTCAAGTTGGTTGAAAGAGCGCTTGAAGGGAAACCTAGGGAGCTCTGTCTGAACAAGGTGCACATAGTTAGACTCTGACCAAAGGAATCCCAGTAACGCGGCCCCAGAGGTGCGGGCACTTGGCATACAAATCACTCTCGTGTCCCTGACAAGAGTCAGCACTCCCGAGCTCCTTCCTGCTCGAGTAGCACACACCGCTTCTACTTAGCAGAGCTTTTTACTTGACAGGACACTTAGGAAACACGGACAGGAAAACATAATGGACTGTATTCAAAGTCCTTTATTTCAAAGAAATGTACCTCCTTGCTTCAGATGGCAGCATTGTCTATTTTTATTCCCATTATGACCATCTGTTCATACAAAATAACATTCATCAGTTAAATCAGAATTTCCACCAATTGTAATCACTCAAGAGAAATGTGCTGCTCCTAATCCTTTCTTTTTCTTTATTTTACGCAATCTTTGCGAGCTGCTACTTGTCATTAAAACTTTTTCTGTCCCCTCGTATCTTTTCTTCAAAATCCTCATAACATCAGCCCCATGAGGGAAGTGTTGGTGGCCATGTGGCATTTGATTTTCTATATAACTGCTTCACTTCTTTAACAAATATCTATAAGGAACAATAATGTTCCCTGAGCGTGGTGGTGAGCAAAATAGCAGCAGTCCTTGCCCCAAAGGTCTCCTGGCTGAGTGGAGGGAGACAGACGTGCGTTGAATAAGGGTCGGTGAAGTGCGTGCCCGCGCCCCCGGGGGGGG